AATTATAAAACACGTTAATAGCCTGTATTATCCTTTAGTATGTTCTATTATACATAAGATCCATCCATCTAAACATTCGCATTTATGAGATAATTTTAAAGCTTGAAAAAAAAATCAATAAAAGTATTTTTAAACTATCAAAATTGAAATGAAAAAAAATGTAATGTTTCAATATTGGTTTTGATTACTATTTTTTCATTATAAACATGTATTTAACTTACTTCAACATTTCTTTTACTCTCGAGCTGTGTTTTCAAATTGGATAGTTCTTTAGTTAAGTTATCCATAACTTTATTGCTTGTCGCGACCACGTTGACCTGCGGAGTGTTCTTGATTGCTTTGGCGCGATACGCAAATCTGAAAAGAAAAGCATGCGAAAAGTGTTAAATTTTAAATTGTTATTCGCTAAAATTACCTCAACAGCCATTATCATGATATAATAGCTTTGCCCCGTGATTATGTCAGCGTAGAACAAATTAAAAAAAGTAAGTAACATATTTGTTTTTTCGAAATCCTCTACATCTCATGCCAAATTTCATCGAAATTCATTGAGATATTTAGGTAAGAAACTCTAACAATCATCCGTCCATCTAAACTTTCGCATTCATAACATTTGTAAGAAGTAATATTAACTCAAGGACAAAGTTGTGATCCTGAACACAGCATGAAAATTTTAATACATATACAGTCCAAAATATTTAAATTAATAAAATGTTATAACAGATTTACAGACTTTGTCAAAAAATGTTTTCATCACTCAAAAACATTTTATAATTTTTTTTAAATACACTAAAAAATTAATGTGATCAGTATTTTTTTTGTTTTATAACACTCACTGTAATGTAGAGATGGTTTCTTCAACTGCCGCGGGCGTGACAGCGCAGATGATACTAGTCTTAGCATTTCCACCCAAAGAGTTCTGTAGGATTCGTGTTAGCTTGCTGTCTCGATAATTTACGTGTCTGTAACAAAATGTTTTTATTTATCCCTAAATTATAAAAAATAAATAGTTTTAAACACTAATATTGTACAATAGTTTTTGCATTGTTGCTTAATGAAGAAATGAATTTCGATACTTGAAAAATGATATTGTCAAATCATCAATAGTACATTAATACGCGAGGTCCCTTTACAAGTGGATCAAGTTATATTTGCTGTAGAAATACAAGACAAACTACAACTCACTTGCTGAGTCCTTCTGAGAGTTGTTTTATAACAAGTGCAAGAGAAGAGAGGGACTTGTTGATATGTGTGCCTTCTTTGAACCGGATACCAGTGGCCCCCGTCTGTCCTGATCTCTCGGAGCCCGCCAAGTCCACAAGATTCAACTGGGAGATGTTCAAACAGCCCACTTCTTCCCCCTCCGAATGTTCTCTTGATTCTATTGTCTGTTAAAATCATTATTAATATTAATGCATATATTTATCTTAACAGTGGTAGTGCCCGCTTTAACATCTTAGCACGAATGGGCAGGCACGCCCGGTGTAGTACCACGACCACACAGAAGACAGATGTGAAATGGAAGCAATTCCGTGTGAGAGGATGGGAAAGGGAAGTAGATTTGATGGTGGAGGAGATGCATGGGAAGGGGCATTATCCTCTTTATGTGCCTCTCCTCCTCCGTCGGATAAGGGTAGGTAACGCATCTGCGATCGCGGATGTCTATGGGCAGCGGTCGCTTCGCCATTTTGGCGGATTCAGGTGGCCGCTTGCTCGTTTGCCACCCTATGTTATAAAAAAAAATATACAAGAATAATTTGTTTTATAACATATCAAAGTTAAACTTACTATTTGGAAAATGGAATGCGATCTACTACTTTCTTCGTTCATGTTTGTTGCACCAGTCTGTCGGTTAGCTTGGCCCTGAAAAGAATTCACAAATTACAACTTCCTGTTTTATTTTTCTTAATTTGACACATTCAGGGCCACTGTTTTGCAAGGCCACATTAACATGAAAACTTATAGTGAAAGTATGTTTATTTCAACAGAACTAAAATAGAAATTAAACAAGTAATCTCTCGCCTCCTCATTGGTGTAAATGCCCAAACTTTGTCGCATCTTTTCACGCTTTCTCTTCGATCTACACTGTCTACTAGGCATTGCACTGAGTAATTAAAAAATAAAAACTCAAAAGATTTAATTATGAGTACAAACAATGTGATCCAACCAATCAGTTTCACGCTAAAGAGTTATTTAAAGCTAACAAAACACAATCTGCTTCCTGTGACTACTATAATTATTTTTAACACTTATTTTATATTTGTATAACTGATAAAATTCATCCACATTTTATTACTAGCTACATGTGGAGCTGGATATAGATAGATATACACCAATCTGGTATATTCTTGTTATATGTATGTTAAAAGAGAACATATAGAAGACTAATGGATGTAAAAAATGATTTAGAATCATCTATTTATATCTATACCCTAGCTATCGCCCGCGACTCCGTCTGCATGTGAAAAAAATAATAATATAGAACATAGCCTATGTTACTCACTGACAATGTAGCTTTTTAATGGTGAAAGCATTTTTGAAATTGGTCTAGTTTTTGAGTTATTCCATTATAATCAAACAAAGTTTTCATCTTTATAATATTAGTATAGATATAATAAAATTGGAGTGTCTGTAATATCAAAAGAAAACGACGATGTATTTGCGTTGCTGATAACGAAAATCGCAATTAAAATTTTTGTCTGACTGTCTGTCTACAAGCAGCATTTGCTCTGCATGATCTCCGAAACGGCTGGGCCGATTTCGACCGAACATTCACAGAAGGGTAGCTGACATAGACGGGCTATAGACACGACAATGGCACACAAAATATAATAGACTACTTTTTTATATTCATATTGAGTGGACGAAGTCATGGACAAAATCTTGTATCAAATAACAATTTGATGTGTACTAATGTCATTTATCCACATTAAAATTTTTTTCGCAACTATTTCCTCACAACAACAATGTAGAATTAATTTTCATTGTCAGTACTGCAAATTTACTTGTAGGATATTTGTGAAATGCAAAATAATACCTCTTTCATAAATTGAAAAACCTCTTCAGGTGTAGTAGTCACTCTCACTGTTGCGTCTACCTTAACACCTTGGAAAGTGTCTTGAATTTTTATATTCTTCTTCTCCGTATTTAATAAGTCTATAATTGTTTCATTGTAAATCTCCACATAAGATACTCTGGAATCAAAGTGATCACATAATAATTTAAGACACAAAAGTATATAATACCTTCATATTATTAAACTGTGTCTAAAAGTTCTATATTGCATCTATTTTTAAAACAATAATTAATTGGTATAAGGTAAACATAATTTAATGATATTTATAATATATGCTGGTATATATGATTACGTAATATAAAAAAAAATAACCTATGGTGACATAATTATAAATATTAATTAGGGTAGCGCATACCATCTTTCGACCAAATCTTCACTCTCAGTCGGTGGGATAGTGGTCAAGTGCTAGCTTAAAAACTAAAAAAAAAAATGTCTTAATCTTATAATACCTTATTAAAAAGTGTCTGTCATCTATGTTCTTAATAATATCAAACAGATTTATCACAGAGAGATGTATGAGACCAGGTGATATGTCATTGCCGCTCATGGTGTATGTTTTGCCCGAGGAAGTTTGACCATAAGCAAAAATTGTTCCATTAACACCGGCTGTTGCAGCTTCAACAATAGGTTTAGCAATATCATTGTAAACATCGCTTGTGTTTGTATTTTCATTGTAGATCTTGTCTAAAAGAGATTTTATTTATATTTATTAGAAAGTCAAGTTATGCATTGATTGAAGGATGCTGCAAATTCATGATCTTACTTTAAACCCAAACTTCGTTCACTTACCAAACGTGAATAAATTTCCACAATCTCTTCCACCTTGATCAATTTGGTAAATAGTATTGTCTTTTACGCGCCATTGGTGAAATAGTTTTTCCTCTATTTCACGTGAAATTAGCGGTCTAACTTTGACAACTACTTTTATATTGTCACTCATGGTTTAGTATATCTAACAATTTTAGTAACAATTCGCATACGTATATAGCTTACTAATCTATGTGACTATCATAATGATGCACGTTTAGCATTTTATACGACCACCTTTTTAAAATATAGTAAATAGACAAAGCAAAAATAACCGACGAGCAAATTATAAATTCAAACTTCAACATACAACCTTCAAACTTCAAACAACAAACTACAGATAAAAAATTACAAAGATTAAGTACCGTTATAAAACTTAAAGTGAAGGGATGTTTACAGATAAAAAGGTTTTAACTAGTGGGAAAAGTTATGAGATGAAAACTAGGATAGAATTGATCTCTTGATCAGGATGTTCTTACTGATCTCCAGATTATGATTGCGTATTTCTTTCATACTTTAATTTAATCCTGTATTCGTCATCAAATGCGTTTGTTAGATTATAGGTATATTCTTTGCACTTTATTGCTGTCAGATCAACAGTCAGCGGCTGTCAGATTAATGTCAATCAAAGCGAATGCCAATGCCATGTGGTAAATTATCAACATAGTTTTAATTAATTAAAACCTATTATACATTTTTATCAAGATGCAGCACGACGATGTAGGAAGTTACTAATAAGTACTGGTTGCGTTTGATTTTTTTTTTAATTGATAATATATGCATAGTTCTTTTTTTTTAGGTTGTGTGGGCCATTATCAACAAAACGCATTGTTCGCATAAAGTAACGTAAGTTTATATCAATATGTCATTTTTGATTTTCTTTTGTGCATATACCATTTCATATTTCACTATAAAAACTAAAACTTTTTGCAGTACAAAAACTCAACATTTTTGCCGCAATGAATACAACCTCACGGGTTTATGCAGTAGATCGTCATGTCCACTGGCTAACAGTAAATATGCTACTATCAGGGAGGAGAATGGTATTATTTATTTGTATATGAAAACTGCTGAGAGGTATGTGTCAATTTACTTATTATGCCCCTTTCTACAACAGAAAAATTATTCCCAAACTTTAATGTTTAAATTACCTCTATCTTTTATTGTGTGCTTTATGTAATGCATTAAATTTGACTTATTTCAACATTTCTCTTTACAGAGTCATGTTTCCCGCCAAACAATGGGAAAAAGTGAAATTGTCAAGAAATTTCGAGAAAGCAATTTATCAAATCAATGAAAATTTACTTTACTGGCCAGCTTTCATACAGTCAAAATGCAAGCAGAGATTTGTGAAAATAACACAATATCTTATACGAATGAGAAAGCTTAAATTAAGGAGAGTGTAAGTTGACAAGTTTTAGCTATTAACAAGCATATTCAACATTAATGTTTAGTTAACCTCTCGTGTATGGAGCGTCCCAATTTGGGACGCTTGAATTTTTTTCTTGTCTGTGGGGCGTCCTGTTTCAGGACGATTACACACTACATTGACAGTTTTTAGTTTTGAGCGTATTTTGCGGTGTATATATATAGTGTTTACTGGTACTTGGGTAAATTGGGTTTAGAATAAATGACTTCTCACTCTAAAATATAATTTAGCAAGTCTATGGTACAAAAAAAATTAGTTCTCAAACCCCTGTCTGTGGGAGCGTCCTGTATTGGGACCCACAGATGCGCTGATTTTGACATTTTGACAGTTCACAAAATAAAGGTTTTGAATTTTGAATTTTTTGAATCACTATTATGGTATTTATTTTTGACCATAGATATTTGCAACTTAGACAAAAACATTTATTCCAGGAAAGAATTAGTTCCAATACAGCGAAAGATAGAGAGACGTGAGAGAAGGAGGGAAGAAAAAGCACTTGTGGCTGCTAGAATTGATAATGCAATAGAGAAACAACTACTTGAAAGACTTAAAAAAGGAACAGTTAGTATTATTAGTAAACATTGGCAATATAATATAGTAATCAAAATATAAGTCAGTAACTCAACAATTATTACAATTTGTCCACCCTTAAAGACATGTTTATACCTTACTGTAATAAAACCCTTCATGGTTATCATGTGAAACTATGGCAACCAACAGCAAAAAAGAACTCATTCAAGCATTTCCTGCTTAACAGAGTAGTGACGGAATGGAACAGGCTTCGGGATAGTGTAGTGGCGGCTCCAACAGTCAACACTTTTAAAAATAGAGTAGACAAACTTAAAATCTCCGAGCTTTACAACACACACACATCAGCTAACTAACTGTTAGTGTGTCACCCAATATAATAAAAAAATAAATAACTTACTTACTGGCCATGAAAATATGGATGTATAAGTTTTATGTATCTTTAGTAGTCTAAAAGAGCTAGTGTAATAAAATTAATAAGTTTCATGACAAATGTTTAAAATAATGATTTTAAACAATCCTTAATTTTCAAACTCTGCATGTAAAAGTATTGCATTATTTTATTTGCATTTTCTTTTAGTATAACGACATCTACAACTTCCCGCAAATGGCGTTTGATGCCGCACTCAAAGCAGAAGAGATATCTGGTGAGAGCGAGAGTGAGAAAGAAGATGAGGATGAGCGGGAGATGGAACTTGAACCAGAGTTAGAGAAGGAACTGGAGAGGGCAGTTGAGGAAACTGATGAATTCATTGAAGCCAATAGTGATATGGACAGTGATGCTGTAAGTATTATGAAGTTTAAAATAGTCATCATAAATGCGATAGTTTATACATACATATATCCTTTTTTTTTAATTACGCACGGGCGAATTCGCGGGCAAAGCTAGGTCTGCTAGCTAATTTTGTATAAGAACAAAGTATTTATTTTGGATCAATTTTGTTTAATTTGCCTTTTTACATCTATTTTTTTGTTAGTAGCTATTTTTTAGAATGGGTGAACACCTTTGACTATACTATCGCACAATTATTGTTCAATTGTCGATTATTTCGCAGCGAATTCAACTATTTAGTTGCACCAAATTCGAGTTGTGTGAGGTGTGGGCACCTCCATATAAGCTCAAAGTAATCTAAGCGAGACTAAACAGTTTTGCGATAGTTAAGTTTCAGGTGTGCGCATGCTCTTAATGTAATTGTTTTTGGTACTTCAAACAATGTTTTACTATCTTTTAATTCTAGGAGAGCGATTCTGGTAGAAAAGAAAATGTGGATGTTCAAAGTGACTTTGAGTCTGACACTTCAGATATAGAGGTAAGATGTTTATAATAATTATTTACGTAATTACTTGGTAAATATATAATTTACCAATATAACTATATATATTATATGTGAATAAAAATATCTTGATTATATGTGTAAATGAATAAAGTGGAATATCAAACAAATTCTTATAAACTAAAATTTCCAGGACATGGCTGTTAAAATGACGAGCAGAAAGAAACCTAGGGTAGAAATTGAATATGAAACTGAACCTGTAGCTAGTGTATCTAGGAAGAAAATAAAACAATGATTTTTTTTTATCTTGGTCTTTTACTCAGTTTATCTCATATCCAGACAACTTAAGTATTATATTTCAACTCAGGTCAAAATAATTTAGAAGTCGACAAAAATTTATTAAACACACTGCATTTTAATTACATGTATACAAACTCAAATTATACATTTTCATTATAATTTTTATGGGAAAGCTTTGCCGATGACTTCATGACGTCACGCGTTCACCGACAGTACAAAGCAGACGAACGATGTTAAGCGTAATCGTATATCTAGATATCTGGATGGATGTTTATTACTATGTATCTGGACATCTTAAACGATCTTGACGAAAATAGGCAAGGTATAGAGCATAAAATAAAACAATTCCTTGCGGATGGAATCGCGGGCAAAAGCTAGTTTAAACACAAAGTCGATTGATATGTATTCATATAATCGAGTTGTATGTTTGTGTTATTTTTATTACAACTGTAGTGAAGTTTTCTTTGTATCATGTTCGATAAATGAGGTCGAAGTAATAAACGTTGTCTTTTGTCGAAGTCAATTTGTATTGGAACAGTAAGCCCGGTTGGGTCCATTGATTTCATTGTCAGTTAATTTGCTGACCGTACGCCTGATTGACTTCGTCTTATCAATCACGTCTAAAATTGCTTGCCTAATTGCTTCTAATTATTGTGCGGAAGGTTAGCAAATTGGACGTTTAAAATAATAAAATAAAGCCAAACAATATTTAAACTTTTTATTTATGTAGACTGAAACATTCTTTTTCAGTTATTTATTTTATTTTACTATAGTACAGGTTTATTATTTTATAAAAACATACGACATACTGGTATTAGTTTCAATTCAATTTAATACGAAATCTGTTTTGTTTCACGAAATATCCTCTTACTTTCACTAGAATTTTGAAAGGAACATAGTAATATTTACTAAGTTAAGCGATTTTGAACCCTTTGACCCCTTGGTAATTTATCCTTGCACCTTGTTATATGCCCTTGGGTTTCCGCGATACCGAGAACCACAGATGCGTTGCTTAGAGAGAGTTAAGCCGTATCACTTCCTTCAGGCTTCTTTCATCTTTTAACTCTGTTTTATTTAAATCCAACATACTTGTCAAGCCAGTGCATACATAACATATTTGTTGCTATTTACATTCACGGTACACTCGTACATAAAAGGGAGTATCTTGTGACATTTGTACAGTCGAGTGCAGAGATTGTTCCAAGCTTATTTGTCTTTTGTATGCCGGTGGTTGTACGTTGAGGGCGCAGATGTTAACATAATATTCATGTGAAGTACATACTCGATATTCTATATACTGGTAGTTTTGTGTCCATTTTACCTCAATTGTTTTTTTTTGCTTCACACATCCCCCTAAAAATACGCAAATTGTCTCTCCAAGAGCGCCTTAAGTTTGAGATTTTTAAGGCGATTTTTGACATTAATAAAAGAACATTTTATTTTTAAATTATAATGCGGCAAGTAATTTACAAATTAAAACGTACGATTTTATGCCTTACAAAGAAGTTTGTTCTGTTAGGTCACCTTAACAGTTTTGGTATCTTCTATTATTTGTTTTTAGATATTTCAGGAAAAGCGAAACCGGGATATTATTATAATAACCTTATACCGGTTGTGTAATAATACAAGTTAAACATTAATTCAATGGGCAGCTTGTACAAATGTTTTAATTAAGGCGGGCCTAATCCCGGCGGTCTATTGTATTTACTTTAACAAGTTTAATCGAGACCAAAGTCAATTTGAACGGATGCCTCGACGTTCACGTCTCGCTTCACTACCGTAT